AGCATTGTGGCTATTTCGTAGTTCATTCTACAAAGAATTGCAAAAAATCATGATGATTTTTTTTCTATTTTTGGGGTAATTATTTTTGTTACAAGCATTCACCTGCCATATGGCAAAAACTATCTGTCCTGTCGGGCTGATCATGGTCTCATTCGATTCAACGTGTCATTTTCTACTGGAAAAGCGATAATTCGCGTGGATTTCCGCCGTTTTTTGGCACTTTCGGCCGTCCGAAGATGGCTCGGTGACTATATCCTACTGAAGTCTCAGATGGGAAAATGCAAATTTTTATTTGGCCAATTAAAAATCTGAAAGAATTCACATAGACTAATTCGATGTCGTTATGAACGAATCTGTGGTGGAAAACGGGAAATTTTGGAAAATGGAGACGTAGTAGCCTACCGGAGTGCTCCTATTGGCAATAAAAGCGGAGAGCTGACTTTGAGCGCCGATATCTCAAAAACTATCTGTTCTATCGGGCTGATCATGGTCTCATTTGATTCAGCGTGTAATTTTCTACTGGAAAAGCGATAATTCGCGTGGATTTCCGTCGTTTTCAGGCACTTTCGGCCGTCCGAAGATGGCTCGGTGACTATATCGTACTGAAGTCTCATATGGGAAAATGAAAATTTTTATTTGGCTTTTTGAAAATCTGAAAAAATTCACATGGACTAATTCGATGTCGTAATGAACGAATCTGTGGTGGAAATCGGGAAATTTTGGAAAATGGAGACGTAGTGGCCTACCGGAGTGCTCCTATTGGCAATAAAAGCGGAGAGCTGACTTTGAGCGCCGATATCTCAAAAACTATCTGTTCTATCGGGCTGATCATGGTCTCATTCGATTCAGCGTGTCATTTTCTACTGGAAAAGCGATAATTCGCGTGGATTTCCGCCGTTTTCTGGCACTTTCGGCCGTCCGAAGATGGCTCGGTGACTATATCGTACTGAAGTCTCAGATGGGCAAATGAAAATTTTTATTTGGCTTTTTAAAAATCTGAAAAAATTCACATAGACTAATTCGATGTCGTTATGAACGAATCTGTGGTGGAAATCGGAAAATTTTGGAAAATGGAGACGTAGTAGCCTACCGGAGTGCCTATTGGCAATAAAAGCGGAGAGCTGACTTTGAGCGCCGATATCTCAAAAACTATCTATTCTATCGGACTGATCATGGTCTCATTCGATTCAGCGTGTAATTTTCTACTGGAAAAGCGATAATTCGCGTGGATTTCCGCCGTTTTCTGGCACTTTCGGCCGTCCGAAGATGGCTCGGTGACTATATCGTACTGAAGTCTCAGATGGGAAAATGAAAATTTTTATTTGGCTTATTAAAAATCTGAAAAAATTCACATAGACTAATTCGATGTCGTTATGAACGAATCTGTGGTGAAAATCGGGAAATTTTGGAAAATGGAGACGTAGTAGCCTACCGGAGTGCTCCTATTGGCAATAAAAGCGAATAGCTGACTTTTGAGCGCCGATATCTCAAAAACTATCTGTTCTATCGGACTGATCATGGTCTCATTCGATTCAGCGTGTCATTTTCTACTGGAAAAGCGATAATTCGCGTGGATTTCCGCCGTTTTCAGGCACTTTCCTCCGTCCGAAGATGGCTCGGTGACTATATCGTACTGAAGTCTCAGATGGGAAAATGAAAATTTTTATTTGGCTTTTCAAAAATCTGAAAAAATTCACATAGAATAATTCGATGTCGTTATGAACGATTCTGTGGTGGAAATCGGGAAATTTTGGAAAATGGAGACGTAGTAGCCTACCGGAGTGCTCCTATTGGCAATAAAAGCGAATAGCTGACTTTGAGCGCCGATATCTCAAAAACTATCAGTTCTATCGGACTGATCATGGTCTCATTCGATTCAGCGTGTAATTTTCTACTGGAAAAGCGATAATTCGCTTGGATTTCCGCCGTTTTCTGGCACTTTCGGTCGTCCGAAGATGGCTCGGTGACTATATCGTACTGAAGTCTCAGGTGGGAAATTGAAAATTTCTATTTGGCTTTTTAAAAATCTGAAAAAATTCACATAGACTAATTCGATGTCGTTATGAACGAATCTGTGGTGGAAATCGGGAAATTTTGGAAAATGGAGACGTAGTAGCCTACCGGAGTGCTCCTATTGGCAATAAAAGCGGAGAGCTGACTTTGAGCGCTGATATCCCAAAAACTATCTGTTCTATCGGGCTGATCATGGTCTCATTCGAATAAGCGTGTTATTTCCTACTGAAAAAGCGATAATTCACGTGGATTTCCGCCATTTTCTGGCACTTTCGGCTGTCCGAAGATTGCTCGGTGACTATATCGTACTGAAGTTTCAGATGGGAAAATGAAAATTTTTATTTGGCTTTTTAAAAATCTGAAAAAATTCACATAGACTAATTCGATGTCGTTATGAACGAATCTGTGGTGAAAATCGGGAAATTTTGGAAAATGGAGACGTAGTAGCCTACCGGAGTGCTCCTATTGGCAATAAAAGCGAATAGCTGACTTTTGAGCGCCGATATCTCAAAAACTATCTGTTCTATCGGACTGATCATGGTCTCATTCGATTCAGCGTGTAATTTTCTACTGGAAAAGCGATAATTCGCGTGGATTTCCGCCGTTTTCTGGCACTTTCGGCCGTCCGAAGATGGCTCGGTGACTATATCGTATACTGAAGTCTCAGATGGGAAAATGAAAATTTTTATTTGGCTTTTTAAAAATCTGAAAAAATTCACATACACTAATTCGATGTCGTTATGAACGAATCTGTGGTGAAAATCGGGAAATTTTGGAAAATGGAGACGTAGTAGCCTACCGGAGTGCTCCTATTGGCAATAAAAGCGAATAGCTGACTTTTGAGCGCCGATATCTCAAAAACTATCTGTTCTATCGGACTGATCATGGTCTCATTCGATTCAGCGTGTAATTTTCTACTGGAAAAGCGATAATTCGCGTGGATTTCCGCCGTTTTCTGGCACTTTCGGCCGTCCGAAGATGGCTCGGTGACTATATCGTATACTGAAGTCTCAGATGGGAAAATGAAAATTTTTATTTGGCTTTTTAAAAATCTGAAAAAATTCACATACACTAATTCGATGTCGTTATGAACGAATCTGTGGTGAAAATCGGGAAATTTTGGAAAATGGAGACGTAGTAGCCTACCGGAGTGCTCCTATTGGCAATAAAAGCGGAGAGCTGACTTTGAGCGCCGATATCTCGAAAACTATCTGTTCTATCGGTCTGATCATGGTCTCATTCGATTCAGCGTGTCATTTTCTACTGGAAAAGCGATAATTCGCGTGGATTTCCGCCGTTTTCTGGCACTTTCGGCCGTCCGAAGATGGCTCGGTGACTATATCGTACTGAAGTCTCAGATGGGAAAATGCAAATTTTTATTTGGCCAATTAAAAATCTGAAAGAATTCACATAGACTAATTCGATGTCGTTATGAACGAATCTGTGGTGAAAATCGGGAAATTTTGGAAAATGGAGACGTAGTAGTTGCCTACCGGAGTGCTCCTATTGGCATTAAAAGCGAATAGCTGACTTTTGAGCGCCGATATCTCAAAAACTATCTGTTCTATCGGACTGATCATGGTCTCATTCGATTCAGCGTGTAATTTTCTACTGGAAAAGCGATAATTCGCGTGGATTTCCGCCGTTTTCTGGCACTTTCGGCCGTCCGAAGATGGCTCGGTGACTATATCGTACTGAAGTCTCAGATGGGAAAATGAAAATTTTTATTTGGCTTTTTAAAAATCTGAAAAAATTCACATACACTAATTCGATGTCGTTATGAACGAATCTGTGGTGGAAATCGGGAAATTTTGGATAATGGAGACGTAGTAGCCTACCGGAGTGCTCCTATTGGCAATAAAAGCGGAGAGCTGACTTTGAGCGCCGATATCTCAAAAACTATCTGTTCTATCGGTCTGATCATGGTCTCATTCGATTCAGCGTGTAATTTTCTACTGGAAAAGCGATAATTCGCGTGGATTTCCGCCGTTTTCTGGCACTTTCGGCTGTCCGAAGATGGCTCGGTGACTATATCGTACTGAAGTCTCAGATGGGAAAATGAAAATTTTTATTTGGCTTTTTGAAGATCTGAAAAAATTCACATGGACTAATTTGATGTCGTAATGAACGAATCTGTGGTGGAAATCGGGAAATTTTGGAAAATGGAGACGTAGTAGCCTACCGGAGTGCTCCTATTGGCAATAAAAGCAGAGAGCTGACTTTGAGCGCCGATATCTCAAAAACTATCTGTTCTATCGGGCTGATCATGGTCTCATTCGATTCAGCGTGTAATTTTCTACTGGAAAAGCGACAATTCGCGTGGATTTCCGCCGTTTTCTGGCTCTTTCGGCCGTTCGAAGATGGCTCGGTGACTATATCGTACTGAAGTCTCCGGTGGGAAAATGAAAATTTTTATTTGGCTCATTAAAAATCTGAAAAAATCCACATAGACTCATTCGATGTTGTAGTGAACGAATCTGTGGTAGGAATCGGGAAATTCTAGAAAATGCAGACGTAGTAGCCTACCGGAGTGCTCCTATTGGCAATTAAAGCGAATAGCTGACTTTGAGCGCCGATATCTCAAAAACTATCTGTCTTACGGGGCTGATTATGGTCTCATTCGATTCAGCGTGTCATTTTCTAATGAAAAAGCGAAAATTCGCGTGGATTTCCGCCGTTTTCTGTCACTTTGGGATGTTCGAAGATGGCTCGGAAGATATGTACATACAATATTATCCAAGTTATTATCAAAAAACTGTTTTTTTTTCTTCAAAACTTCATCACCCTGTATCTCAGTTTAGTTAAGACTTTTAGGACATAAGTTCATATGAAGTTTTCTTCTTAAAATGAGTCAAAGAATCTACCCCTCGAATATTAGCATGTCTTCATGGAACATCCTGTATAAAAGCCTGTTTTCCCACACAGTGACCCCGATGAAGTGGCTGGGTGCCGGCGGCGAGGGAGATGGCGGCGCGCTGAAAGCGGAGATGGACAGGGGCGGGCAGCAGCAGCAGGCGGGGGGGCAGCAGGGGGGCGGCGGCCTTCAGGGTGGGGGGCCGCACCACCGCACGCAGGACGACGCCGCCGTCGGGTACATCTTCCAGCGGCCGCCCGATCCCGAGTTCCCGCCCTTCGGGCCGAAGCAGCTGAGGTGGGCTCACGGGGACGACAGCATCATCGATGTGAGTAGTAATACCTGACGGATTATCGATCAGTTTTAATCGGAGTTGCGGAAAATCGATCTTTTTGGAATAATCGAAAAATCTGACTTTTTTGAAAAAAATTGCAGAGTCGGAAATATATTTCTAGTGGGTTTATCTGGTTATTCAAGAAGAACCAGAAAGAAAAATAGGGTGACTGTTTACTTCAAAAAAAGCAGACTTGATGTTGTTCCAACTTGATGTTGTTCCAACTTGATGTTGTTCCAACTTGATGTTGTTCCACTTTCGAAAATTTGTTGCTTATGCAGATATAGCAAAAATTGAGTCCATGCCAGCTTCACGAGAAGTTAGCACGGCAACTTTTTTATTTCAACACCGAATTGGGAAACAAATATACCAAATTGTAGTGCTAATTTGTTCCCCCATTCAAATTTTGCAATGATCTTCATTACAGAAAAAAAAAAATCCATGCCAGCTTCATGATAAGATGACACAGCAACTTTTTTATTTTGTTACCATAATATTGTAAAACTATCAACTTTTTCCATTTCTCTTCATCACAGAAAACAGTTGTTTCCTCCGGCTGCACCATCATAAGACTGGCACAGCAACCGTCTCTACATGATGTTTTGAATTGAAAATGATCATACCATACCATGTTCGTTGTCGAATCATGGTTGTTCCTAGTTTAATATTTCTGTTGCTCGTTTTTTTTAGGAAGTAATGGTGAAAGAAAATCCCATGCTAGACTAATTTTACGAGAATACCGTTATCTGACATGAAAACTCAAACGGTGAATTCTGGCATGTTCTTTCTTTAGTTTTTTTTGTCAGATAACGAGTTCCCAGGAAATTAATCTAGCATGGCAGTTTATTTACTCATCATTTTCGAAAAAAAATAGTTATTTGTTTAACTAGGCAGCAAAGTAGTAGATTGACTGCCGAGGCTGAATTCATAGCCGAGCGTAGCGAGGCTAGGAATCCAGCTAAGGCAGTCAATCTACTTTGCTGCCGAGTTGAACATATAATTTTTTCTCCGATAGTTCATAATGATATAGGAGGATATTGTATTTGCAAATTATTACAATTCCCACAATCTCTTTATTTTTCCTGTAGTGTTCAATTAAAATGATATTTTAAAGAAATCTCAGTTGTTGGAATGATTGGTTGCTATGGAAATGTCCATAATAATTATAGTTTGACAATTCATGAAATTTCTGACAGTTGTGCGAAAAAATATCGGTATATTTAAATTATTAAATAATGGACAGTGATAGCGACCTGGAAGTACTTACTCCTCCAGAAATAAGGGAGGTGGCAAAAAATATAGAGTTGAATTTGTTGCCGGAGAAGTCTCGGATGGAATATGAAGGAAATTATAAACGATTTATGTAATAATTGCTAATAAATGTTTACGTCAAATATTTTATTCCCATTGAGTATAATCACTTTGCTGCCTAGGCAGCAAAGTACCCACTTTGCTGCCTAGGCAGGAAAAGTAATACTTTGCTGATTGATATGTGTCAGCAAATAGTTATTTGTTTAACTAGGCAGCAAAGTAGTAGATTGACTGCCGTGGCTGAATTCATAGCCGAGCGTAGCGAGGCTAGGAATCCAGCTAAGGCAGTCAATCTACTTTGCTGCCGAGTTGAACATATAATTTTTTCTCCGATTGTTCATTATGATATGGGAGAATATTGTATTTGCGAATTAATACAATTCCCACAATCTATTTATTCTTCCTGTATAGTGTTCAATTAAAATGAAATTTGATAGAAATCGCAGTTGTTGGTTTGACAATTCATGAAATTTCTGACAGTTGTGCGAAAAAATATCGGTATATTTAAATTATTATATAATGGACAGTGATAGCGACCTGGAAGTATACTTACACCTCCATTAATAAGGGAGGTGGCAAAAAATATAGAGTTGAATTCGTTACCGGGGAAGTCTCGGATGAAATATGAAGGAAATTATAAACGATTAATGGATTTTTAATTTTGCTGATACATATCAATCAGCAAAGTACCCACTTTGCTACCTAGGCAGGAAAAGTAATACTTTGCTGAATGATATGTGTCAGCAAAATTAATATTTGCTGCCAATCGAAGGAAAATTAATATTTGCTGCCAATCGGAGAAAAAAATATGAGCAACGAAAAAACTAATAAAGATTTCTATCTATCTATTGTAGAACCACGACAAATGGAAATACCCGATGGTGAACACCAAAATATCCACCCCGCCAAATGGTAACGGCCCATCGCCGTACGACATGTCGCAGCAGCAGCAGCAGCAGCAGCAACACACCAAATCCATGCTGCAGCACCAGCAGCTGCAGCAGCACCACGAGCACCTCGTCTACATGCCCAACCAGTTGCTGGCCCACGCCGGGGGCATGCCGATGCCGCCCCACGGGCAGTACTTGCCGCCCCCACCGCAGGCCACCCAACAGTCGTTGGCGGCGCAGCAGTCGATGGTGCAGCAGATGAGGCACCAGTCGCAGGTCAGATATGTTTTTTCTGTTGCTTCATTCCATCTGTCATAGAGAGCTTCGTTTGCCAATAAATTTTGCCACCATGATAAGCCATACAGGGTGGACATAACAAAATTCTATAAATATTTTCAACTTCAACGCCCTGTATGTCACAAACGATTCCTTCTATAAATTTCGTTTATGAGAACTTTTTTATTTTCTTGAGACGCCCTATCACCTCTGGAAGTAAAATTCTCATGTCCATGTCATGGTGTTTGTTGCCAAACTCCTACGAAACGGCTAGCCGATCCATATGATTTTTTTTGTAGATATTATTTGTTAGGTCAGAGAATCGGTCGTAAGCTATTTTTTTATTGAAAATTCAAGATGGTGTACAAGTTTTTCAATTATGATCCGATTCTATTCAAAATTGGTGTCTAGGGGTCTTGAGGGTCGGAAATTATGATTCTTTTATCAAAATTTGAGAATTCAGGATGACGGATACAATATGACGGACAAGTTTTTTGATTATGGTCCGATTCCATCCAAAATTGGTATCTGGGGGTTTTCGAGGTTCGGAGTTTATGATTCCTTCGTCAAAATCAAGAAATTCAAGATGGCGGATCCAATATGGCGAACAAGTTTTGTTAGATATTTTTACAATTACAAACTTTGATTCACTGTCACCTGTCCCGGTGTCTGTGTGTCTGTCTGTGATCAAATCTTGCAAGTCAAATATTATCAGATTGATTTGAAATTTGGCAGGCGTACATATAATTCTGGTTACAATGCATCATGAAATTTTTGTGAGAGAAAAAACAAAATGGCGGCTCCAAAATGGCAGATGAATTTTGTAATTATGATCCAATTCTATTCAACATTTGTATCTGGGATTCGGTGTCTGAGATTATGATTCTTTCGTCAAAATTTAGAAATTCAAGATGGCGGATACAATATGGCGGACGAGTTTTGTAATTATGGTCCGATTCCATTCAAAATTGGTATCTGGGGGGTTTTCGGGATCGAAGATTATGATTCCTTCGTCAATCAAGAAATTCAAGATGGCGGACGAGTTATGGGAGTTTCCGGGGTCGGAGATTATGATTCTTTTATCAAAATTGGGAAATTCAAGATGGCGGGCGAGTTTTGTAATTATGCTCTGGGGGTTTTTGGATTCAGAGATGTTTTTGTCAAAATAGCGATGAGCATTGTAATAAATAGTAGAAAACTAAAGTATTAGGTAGAAAACTAAAGTATTACGATATCATAGATAGCCAAACCATAAGAAATTATAAAATAACTAGCAGTTTACAAAATTGAAGAGCAGATTGCCGATTGCCGTTTTCAGCAGAAAACGATGATGACTAATTTCTGTGAATATCCCTAAATCTACAGCCTGTGTTTGAAAATGGGGAAAGCATTATTCATACACTAATTATCTAATATATATTGTTTATGAATATTTATTCTGTATGTTTCTTCCTCAATTAGTATAAGGTGAATTCTGCTATTGAAATAATTCAAATTTTGATTTTCAGTGATTTCTTCTTATAAAACTATATAAAGACAAGTCTATTATGGTTTGCCAGTGCATGGATTGTGAAATAGTTCACTATTTAAACTCAAAATTGTTCACCTTAATCTTATATCACTAAACTATACAGAGGGCGAGGGCTATAATCAAGAAATTCTAACATAAATTCATCAGAAGGAAAGATATACAGTGTTATCAGTTCTCATGAAATCAAAGGATTGTCTGCTACAGAAATTACACAGTTTTCCAAACTACTTCTGACAATTCATTGATATTTTTAAGGTAAGTAATCTCTACAGATTTTTTTTTCTACTCTGTTATCAGTGATTACCAAATCAAATGATTCACCTTGATTTACAACAAACTCCTGGACAATTTCATTTTAACAATTCATGAAATATCATTGCAGTTTTTTCCTATTTGCATTTTTTTCAAAGGAAATATTTGGTTTCAGACTTATCAGTTTCTAGAAATTTCTAGTTGTCAGATTGTACTTGAATCAATAAAGAGGTAGGTATTTACCTTCCTGATTAGATTATTTGCTAAGGTTGACTCATTATTCACGAATTAACTTGTGAATGTTTGCTCATTTTTAGGGTTTCATAAGTCATTTGGTTCAGCATTATCAATGCATCTTGCAGAATAATTTACTTGGATTGACTGACATTTATTATACAGGGTGATTCAGGTTTTAAGGCACAAACTGAAATGGGAGATAGATCTCATCCTTTTAATCAAAAAAGTTTATATAAACATTAGTCCAATCTCGTTCAGTAGCGGAGCTACAGGGGGTCAAAGTTTAATTATTTTTTTCTATTAATTGAAATATCTCGCTTACTTTTCAAGATATCATTTTGAAATTTGGTGTGGTCAATACTTCCTAGAAGATCATCATTTCAAGCATTTTAAAGATTTTCAAAATCTACAGGGTAATACGTTTTTGGAAGTAGAGGCTTCTTTATCCCCTTCTAACTTTTTCGTAGTACGCCTCTGGCATCGTTCAGTGATCAAATTGTGTGGATCGTTCAATTTAGAGACTTTTTTTGCTCCACAATTTTTTTCGAGAAACGAACCGTTTTTTAGATAAATAAGCATATACGGTCTAAAACATGTTAATTTTGCCTATGTTTCGCTCAAATATTTTATTCTTTGACAAAATTCGTTGAAAATCCTTAAGGTGGACACACTGTATACACGTGCACACAGCCCAGCAACCCTCATTTATTATAAAGCAAGTAAGTAGTTGCTTGGAAACTTTAAATGTAAATGAAGTTTGCAGAAAAATGAAAGTACCAGTTGGAGAAAAGAATTGAATTTATTGGATCACCAGATTTGGATAACATGGCAATTTTTCAATAGAGCAGTTCAGCTACCGTTGAGAGAGAAAAAAAATGTCTTCCCCATCTGTCCTTGTCTTCAGTGTTCCAATATAAAATAATGAAAATATTATGTTGGCATCATTGGAAATGGGAAAAAATGGAGAAGAATATCATATTAACCTCGATATAAAAGAAGGTTAGAACGGTCCTCTTCTCCATTTCTTCTCATTTCCAGTGTTGGCAACATAAGATTTTCATTATTTCATGTTGGAACACTGAAGACAAGGACAGATGGGAAGACATTTGTTTTCTCTCTCAACGGTAACTGAACTGCTCTATTGGAGGACCAGGAAGATTTGGTTGACTCCCACTGTATTGGTTCAAGTATTCATTTTCTCGAAATCTTTCCAATATTCTTGAATGTTTTTGAATCCCTTCATTGCAATTTCATACCTGTTTTGAACACATTATACGCCCACTTGTAATTTGTAACTTTCGAACAGAACAGAACGATGAAAAACTGCCTCTCTCGATGCCCACGATATATTTTTTTAATTATATTCGATTTAACATTTAACCTTGTACCTTGACTCACTTACCTCTTTCAAGTAGTGTTACCAAATGTCTGCGTATGTGTAATCATGTGGGGCAACTGCAAATGGATGACATCCAGTATTACATGTTTCATGCTGGTGCTCATTAAGAGGTGTCATAATCTAATCTAATTGAGTTTCTATGCGAAAAAAAAACCAATTCGTTTTTAACATGTCAAAATTAGTGTCTTTGGAGTTTTTCAGATGTGTAGGACGCTCGGGGAGAAAAAATATTTTTCGACCTGAACTAACCTATACTATCATGAATTGCCATTTTTGAAAATTTTAACGAAAAGTCTTGGACCAAATCTGATTCCTGATTCGTTTATATCATGTCGAAATTAGTGTCTTTGGAGTTTTTCAGATGTGTAGGACGCTCGGGGAGAAAAAATATTTTTCGACCTGAACTAACCTATATTATCACGAATTGATAATTTTGAAAATTTTAACGAAAAGTCTTGGACCAAATCTGATTCTTGATTCGTTTTTATCATGTCAAAATTAGTGTCTTTGGAGTTTTTCAGATGTGTAGGACACTCGGGGAGAAAAAATATTTTTCGACCTGAACTAACCTATACTATCATGAATTGCCATTTTTGAAAATTCCAACGAAAAGTCTTGGACCAAATCTGAATCTTGATTCGTTTTTATCATGTCAAAATTAGTGTCTTTGGAGTTTTTCAGATGTGTAGGACACTCGGGGAGAAAAAATATTTTTCGACCTGAACTAACCTATACTATCATGAATTGCCATTTTTGAAAATTTCAACGAAAAGTCTTGGACCAAATCTGATTCTTCATTCGTTTTTATCATGTCAAAATTAGTGTCTTTGGAGTTTTTCAGATGTGTAGGACACTCGGGGAGAAAAAATATTTTTTGACCTGAACTAACCTAATATTATCATGAATTGCTATTTTTGAAAATTTTTACGAAAAGTCTTGGACCAAATCTGATTCCTGATTCGTTTTTATCATGTCGAAATTAGTGTCTTTGGAGTTTTTCAGATGTGTAGGACGCTCGGGGAGAAAAAATATTTTTCGACCTGAACTAACCTATACTATCATGAATTGCCATTTTTGAAAATTTCAACGAAAAGTCTTGGACCAAATCTGATTCTTCATTCGTTTTTATCATTTCAAAATTAGTGTCTTTGGAGTTTTTCAGATGTGTAGGACACTCGGGGAGAAACAATATTTTTTGACCTGAACTAACCTAATATTATCATGAATTGCTATTTTTGAAAATTTTTACGAAAAGTCTTGGACCAAATCTGATTCCTGATTCGTTTTTATCATGTCGAAATTAGTGTCTTTGGAGTTTTTCAGATGTGTAGGACGCTCGGGGAGAAAAAATATTTTTTGACCTGAACTAACCTAATATTATCATGAATTGCTATTTTTGAAAATTTTTACGAAAAGTCTTGGACCAAATCTGATTCTTGATTCGTTTTTATCATGTCAAAATTAGTGTCTTTGGAGTTTTTCAGATGTGTAGGACGCTCGGGGAGAAAAAATATTTTTCGACCTGAACTAACCTACACTATCATGAATTGCCATTTTTGAAAATTTTAAAGAAAAGTCTTG